TATTTTTTTTTCATCTCAATTATGTAAGAAATATGAAAACAAATGAATAATAAAATGTTACAATTATGGCAATAAGGGCAATTTCATTTTATTACAGCTTTCGAATAAGAATCGATGAATTTAGAACTTTATTTCTCGATAAAAACTATTTAGTATGCATGTAAGTTTCAACTAACAAGCCATTTTAAGGACATAACTGTATTTTTATAGCCTAAGTAATCTTAAACATGTTTTCCTTTCAAATACATTAAAACACTTGGGTTTTAAAGATAAGGGAGAAAGATAACGAAGAAATAAAAGGATTATGATACAGACGAAGTTGTTCGTTCAGATGACATTCAAAGCATATTAAAATTTATTATTTTATCTTGATATATTGCATTTAATATGGTAGCTAATTAAAACGGACCCTTTAGAATTTCAAAGGCTCGTTTCCAAAGTCGCTAACCTGTAATCTTTGATTTACGACGTATCGTCGGTGATCCGCACACAAACTTTCTAATTTACAGCACAAGGAGCCGCCAGTATTGAAGTATAAATTTGTGCAACAATAAAACGAACACCTCACGGAAAACATAAAAAATATATTGCCAATTGTCAATGTTCAATTTTGCTCTGACCACACCCGAAAGTTTGGCTGATACCTGGCTCTTAATGCCTGTCAAAGAAGCAATTAAATATGTTTGATGTTGCCATAAACCGAGTTAAAGTCTTGTTTTGCATTTCCTAATTTAATATTATTGCGTTTTAATGGCTTATAATTTGTAACTTAAGCTATTAATGTATCGTAATTCTGCATAATTCTGATTGTTTTACTGTTATCATAATTTAAATAAGTCCAAAGAAAAATTAAAAATACAAAATTATTATTGTATTTAAGATACATAGGTTTAGCAAATTATAAAAAATCATTATTTAGTAATATTGTATTATTATTTATAATAAATGACTTCATTGTATATTTGTAAAAGACAAAAGACATAAACAAGCGTTTATATTTACCACCAGAAACGTTCAAAAATTTAACAAAGCCTGTCCGTGATCCAGTTAACGTGGAAACTAGAGAGTTTTATTACTTTTTTACAACGGTCGTTGGTGTGTTATTTACAGGCATGACTTTTGCAAAGGGGTGCACAGTAACTACTAATATAATCATCAAGTTCAATTTCACGTACACTTTTTTATTGAAATTTTATATTTCAAGATAATCTATTTTAAAATAAATTCATTATAATTTAATTATTTCAATAAAAAGATTTATGAAAATTACGAAATAAAGCAATCGAAACGATTTATTTACCTTCGGCCTGCACTAATCGGAAATAAAATATTCACACGCGAACTCTTGGAAATTGCGATTTAACCCGTCCGTGTCGAGTAATTTATTTTTAAAGCTCGTAAAATCTCACTCTTTAAGCTATAAAAGTAACATTTTAGCAAAGTTAGTAACACGGCCCACGGTTATGGCGTTCTTTAAGTGTGGCTGTTTCCATTCAGAAATCACTGACGTACATTGTCACGCGGACAATCGAGGACCGATCCTTATACAATGTTTATTTTAACCGGATAAGATTAAATTTTAAACTATTAAAAAAAATCGAGACGTTTTTATTTCAAAACAAACACACGAAGTAAAGAACAGATGCATCTGCGGGTCACACACGAATGTATTTCACATAACAACCTCGCGCTAACGACATAGAACAGAACAAAAACTTAGGGAGGCGAGATGAGAAAAGTTACTTCAAGAATATACGGAAGTTAATTAGGAACGGAACGAAAAACAACCGTAACTGGTGGCGAAGTTTGCCGTTCTAGCGCGGCCAATGGTACAGGGCACTCACACAGTCGCACCCTCCGCCGCTAGGCATTTGCATACCGCCCGCCCAGGCGCGCGCCGCCGCCGCCGCCCAACCTGAGCGACAGGGATGGAATTACATTGACGCCTTTGACCTTAAATTATATTTTCAAAATTCGAAAATTTTCTTTACCATCTACTAATAAGAGATTTGTTTTATCATTCGGATTCCAAATTTGAATTTTAAACATAAATTAGCATAGTATTTGGTTATGATAGACGTGGGTAAAGGAGTGCGCGGCTCGGCGACATTGCGACAAGGATGAAAGTAAATTTATCGCCGTCGCCGCGGAAGCGACTCCGCCGCGACAAGTTCGGGAGACAAATCCCTCAAAGAGCGCATCAATGAACTTAGATGTGACCGTAATGAGGATGTGCTCGTGATTGATTGTTACTTGCTTGCTACAAAAATTTCTGATACGAAAATTATTTTACTTCAATTGTTTTTTTTTTTTAATTTTAGAACTTCAGCCCAGTATTCATTTATATTTTGGCAGTAAAAATGCATTTATAATCATCTAAATAATCTTAAATCTCTAGAGCTTCAATGTACCACTAAACAAATAATGAAGCAAGTGAATGTGTTATAATTGTTTTATCACAAACTTTTTGTACTACAAGCTGATAATCTTCTCCACATTAGATTCGAACTTCTGAACTCGTGAAACCTCAATCTGTTTATATATCTTTTTCGACACAAAATATCATATGAAATCAATTAAGGCTGCGTTCAGATGAAATTTTTCAAATTCAGTGGTGAGTGCGCTCCGTCCTAATGAAAACACATAACAGACAAGAACATTGTAATTACGAGGAGTACAAGATTTATTACGCGACCATAGGAAACTGAGCACACGTGACCTACGGCTCAACAATAAAGGTGCTATCGCAGAAAACAACAGTACCGAAATTATATCTTATTAAGATTGTAATTAGCCTCAATTTCCTTGGAACTTTAATTTACTTGTTCCCTTTCTTTTATCTGGCTGAGTTTGTGCATATGCATTCCAAGCAGCCGTGTGTGTGAGCTCCGCGAAAGCGGAACATGTAGTAGTTAATTTTTGCGCAAAGCTGGTGCGAGTGAGATGTTCGCTCATTTACAAATAGTTTGTTCAAGTGCGAGGGGGATGGACTACGTTGGGGGTTAATTAATGAACGTAGAAGCTTGCGCTCTTTATTGCTTTCGTGGCTGGACGCTAAGACGTCGACAGTTAAGGAGTTTTCCTTCGAGAAAATTGTGGCGCCGAGAGACAATGTTTGCTTTTTCCGAATTTATTATAACTAATTAATTTAATTGTCCACTTATTTTAGCTATAAAAGCTTAATTAGATGTTATACTTCGGTAAATGTTTTATGTCATAGAACCGTTTAGAAATTATTAAGATAGTGTTTTCTCTAGAGTAACTTTCCATTATAAAACCAATGAAGAGAAAAGTTAAAATATAAGTAGTCTGAATGTTCGTGTATAGAAAGGCTTATGTTATGACCACCAAATGTATTAAGAGGTATGTAGAAATCAATATATGTAATCAGAGGTTATATCTTAACGATATCAAAATGTCGTAGGATTGATCTAATTAGATTAACACAATACTGAGAATATAAATAATTTTGTACAAGTTTAATTAAATTTCCTTTGCGTCCAGACAATCGTACGGATGTCTGAAATAACACAAGAGACAGGATAATAAAAAAGGTTACATTTAACGTGTTGAATGTTTTCTTAATTTCGTTCCGCAGTGTACGAGGCACGCGGGTAACGAATTAAGAAAGTGGCTCGTAGTATGTGAGACACTTAAGGCTCCGTAGACGTTATTGTTTCTCTTGATAGTTTTCGTTCTGATGGAACCTTGAAGTTAGAAATTAGTCTAATATAATCTGCTGTTAATGTTATTTTTATAATTACTTTATTATAATTTTTAAACACTGGCTTAGCTTAATTTAATGAAATAAAAAAAAAAAAATATTTACTGTCTACACTTTTTATTAACTACAAACAAACTATGTAGTCATTACAAAATAATATTCCAACAGAATTTTTAAAGTAATATTTCATAGGAAAATTATGAATAGAAACGAATCATAAATATAAGAGTGTGCGATAAAAATAATTTATCTGTTCTTAGACATGTGACGTAGTTTGTGGCTGTATTATTCAATTGTAAGATAAACTAGACGCTCATATTTTAGTGGAATGCAATTATAACCGGTCGGGGGTGTCGCACCACATCTAATAGGGGAGAATACTGTCCTCATACATGCCTACATTCAAATATTTATATAGTATACGTATCATATATTCAGGGTTATCAACTCATAAAGTACCAAAATCCTTAAAATGTCTGAACCATAAATAAACTTCTTTTGTTAAAAAAAAATATATTTCAGTATTATTTTAACTGCTATAAAAGATCTGAATTAATATTACTTTATTCGTTTTTATGTAAAATACTGTTTTTTTATGCCTTTCGATATTCGAATCACATTTTCTGCAATTTCGGGTTAATCACGTGACCGCCTTACACTATGTAGCAAGAAAATGTCATTTGTACTTAAATATAAGTTTTGCATATTATAAAAGTACGTGACGAAAATAAAAAAGGTGTGAAAATTAATCGCGTAAAAATTTACTAAATTTGTTAAATATTAAAAATTTCTTTGTTTTCAATATATTTACAACAAATTCACTCAAATAAGTTTAAAATAAAGCTTTCAAGTGTAAATACGGATTAAGGGAAATGCGCCATCGCTAATACGTTGGTTTGCACGAAGGCAAATTGGCAGCCCTATTGTGTGTCGTGGCACATGTAGCCGGACGTCACCCCGGGATTAGCAGCGTGGCCGCGGCATTACCACATCGGCCGCAAATGAAGAATTAGTGATTACGCTTATTTACTTACAGCAAACTAGCGTGAGCTAGTGGCATTTTTTCCAATAGGATTAAAGATATATTTTTCAGTACGTCAAAACAAGCTAATTTCATATGCAAGTTCCCTTAATCTATTAGTCCAGAGAAAATTGGCTACATATTACTAATAATAAAACAGTATGGTTTGAAAAATTCTTCATAAATTTAGACTTACAATGTAAAATAAGTGTTAGCAGTATGCAGTTCTGAAAGATCACAAGTCACATTACTTACATTCAAAAACAATCCAAACTGAATCTTCGTCAGCGACACTGGACGTGGGTAATTAATTTTACATATTCTTGTTCATAACTCCCGCAACTCGACTCGCACCTCGTAAATAACGTCCAAATAAATTGCCGAACTGTAACCGGTGGACTTTTGTTTACGTTTCGAAAGCGAAACGTCGCAAGTATCCGAGTTTTGACAGGCGATCATAAAGTACGAACACAGACGTAGTCACATTTACATACGCGCTAACAACGAGTACACAACGAGAACGGAACGTAGATTCGAGCAAGAAACGTGTCTTAACTTATTAAATTACGAATGTTTTGATATATTTAGTTTTGCGTTCCGTTTTCAGCTCGTTTTTCGTGTGTCCGTCACACAGTTTGCGTTAGTACTGACCACAGCTTAGGGCGCCGGCCACGCGCCGCTGTGTGCGTGTGTGGAGCTTTCTGCACGCGATCTCTTCGAGCTTAAACGAGTGGGGAGTGCGTCGGTGTGCGTGTCGACTTTACATGTGGAAGTAGAAGGCTAGACTCATTGACTGCGGCCCTTATTGTATGAATGTGGAAAAATTATAGCATCGCGCGATATTTCGCCTGAAGTCCGACACATTGTTTATGCCTGTGATACACTCGCAGAGCACTTAGGAATCCCAATTTGCTCACGACATTAATGTCCACACACTTTGTCTCCACGACCATTATATCTTACAAAGTACTGTAATTAAAGTGCATGATTACTTATTTAACGTTATAATTTTCTTCATATATTTTTATTCATAAGAACTATAGTAGTTTAGAAACAATTTATATGAAAGTATAAAAATAAAAAATAAATCAATTTACATAAAAGTGTTTATGCTACTTATTACTCGATAAATGTTAAGTAATATATAAGTATATTTAGCATATTATTTAACATTTGTAATGATTGGTAAAAAAATTATAGACCAACACGTACTCTTACTAACCATTGATCAACATAACAAAACTTATCACACGAATCTAAACAAATGAACATGAGTGACTCAATCAAATTTCAAACCTGAATACTAGTTGTTAGATTTTTTAATATTTTAACTATTACTCAATATCATCATCCATATATTATAGTGATGGCTATATAAAAACCATTGTTATAAAGTAAACAATGAAGATACTAAAAATGAGCGTGAAAAAAAACATTTTAGTTAATCTAAACAATTACGTACCTTCTTCACAAATATCGTGGCATAAATACATATATCATGCGCAGTCAAAACTTGGTTGTTGCATTCTCAAAGTTAAAATTGCACATTTATCACGGACGGTCATGCGCGGGATGGTCCATTAAGAGATTTTTCTGAATCATAAATCTCACTTCGCTTCATCTCTCCTCGATACAGATATGAAGTAAATACGCGCCTCGGAGAGACGTCGTATGAACTTTTCTAAAGGAAATTGAAAATAAATTCTTGCAAATTTAACAAACTCATGATCCGACTAATGGATTATTTTTGCGACATTTATTTCTTAGTCAACACGCGATAGAAATTTTATTCGTGTGAATTTTAAGACCACTTATTTTACCTTGTGCTAAGTTTAACATAAGTATAACCTAATGTTGACATGTTTAGTTTCAAATCAGTTCCAAATAGAAACCAATAGAGAAACATACTCTCTCCTCGAAGGCTTACTAAGCTGATCGTCTGCTAATATGCTGGTTCTAAATTGGAGTCAAAGCAATGGTAAAGCAATATTTAATAATAAACAATACATTAGAGTGACATTTCCTAGCGGAAGAAAATTGTCGTACTTTAAAGTTATCCGTGTAAATTGCCCTTAAATTATTTGTCAGGCACGTTTGAAATTCAAGTTAATTATAAGCCATGTCCCTATAATCCGTCCGATTCCTGTTGATGGCTCCGCCCAACATTCAGTTTTAAGTACTGGCAGCCATTTAGCCAGTCTTTCTTTAACTTCCATGAATAAAGAAGCCTTTTGTTTATGGCCCTATGAGAACATTTTTAATGAATATGCTCTGATCGAGCCACTGGGCGGATAGAGGATGTAATTAAGTGATATTGAGAGCTTGACAGCTTCTTTGTATTACACAGGTTTGCTCGTTAAATCAATTCTTTTAAGGGATTTATTAATTCCATTTGGATTTTTTTATTCAATTCGATTATATTATAAAACCTTTTTCAACAACCGTTGACCGATTGATGTGTAGATTAAATAAAAGTACTTTTAAGCCCAATGTTTGTTATTCGAAGCAAATAAATGTAACATGAATTTAATAGGATTGTATCTTAAAATTGCTTTAAAATAACATATTAGGTTAGTACCGGTAAATGTATTTCCTTTAACGACCATTACCAATAGGTGCTTATAAGAATTTTTCAAAAAGTTGCCAGTTTGTATAAGAATTAAATAACATCACGCCATCTGGCGTCCGACGGAAGTGCGTATCGGCTGTCAGACCTTTAATATTATAATGAAACGGTCTCATTTCTTTCAACTGACCACTTACAAAGAAAACAATGAGATACAAGCGCTCCGCGTTCGCTCATCCGGAGGGTTCGTTCATTTGGCGATTTTGAATTTCGAATTTGTTTTGTTACGTTAAAGTGTATGTTTCAGCTTATTCATGTCAAGTACAAGTCATTTAATTATATTCATTCCATGTTCAATATGAGAAATCGATTTTCAGCCAAACAATGATGAAAATTATAACTGAATTGAAAAAATCCTCATACAACTTATTGAGTATGATTATAATACAAATATTTTTCCAAAAAAAAGGATAACTGTTTACTTCGTGTAGGAAAGAATCTTACTAATATTATAAATGGGAATGTTTAGATGGATGGATGATGTTTGTTTCAAGTCATTTCCAGAACAGCTGCATGGATCTTGTTGCAATTTGGCATAGATGTAGAACACGGTCGGGAAGAACAGTTTTCTTTTTAATTCCGCGCGTACGAAGTCACAGGCGATAGCTAGTATCGCTATAATTTTACACAATATATTGTTGTAAACTTTGTAAATATTTGTGATAGTTCTTACAGTAAATACTTTACTATCAAAGGATAATAAAACACAATGATGCGTTGCAAAAAATGAAGTTGTCAGTTTTGCTGTTAGTAATAGTGGCAAGTTTATAGTGGTATTTAGATTGTTTTATATATTAACGTTGGGCTTAAGAATGGAACGTTTTACTGCGTAACACGGACAATCGCGACGCGAGAACTTTTACAGCGGGGGCGGTTAAAAAGCTTCGCGTTAAGGCGGCCGCCTGTCACACCGAGGCGTAACTGCAACCGTTTCAGAATGTTACGAATATAACTTTGTTGTTTGTTTTGTGATCTTTTGCGCGTGATCTTGTATATTAATTTAAATGCTTCAAAATCATTTCATGATATTTAGAATTGAATGAAAATGGTGCAATTGCATCATTTATCGGTATGTATTAATGACTTAGACATAAAAGATCTACTTCAAACAGTAACTTTAGTGTGGGGATAAATGAATGCACAAATCTATATTCAAGAGTATCACTTCGAGTTTTAATGTAATAATGAAGCTTTCTTAATTTACATATACAAAGAAAACAGAATTTTACACTACGGTGTAACAGCGTTCTACCTTTAAAATTGAAAGTGACGTAAGTGCTGTTTTAGTGCGCAATCGTCGGGCGTAAGTCGTAAATCAAAGTTTTAGTGTCGAAATGTTGGGATGCGCTGGCCACTGGGGTGGCCGGACTTGAACATTTTTTCTTAAAGACGTTTAAAAAAATAAGTTACAAGAAACAATATAACATTGTCCATTTGTTGAATGCTTTCTGCTATTGTTCCAGGCTGACGACATGCACTCAAAAATATCGAATGTTGAATGCATGTACTTTATTTGATGTATTCAGTCTCGTTTTTAAAATATTATAGGTATTCAATTAAAATAATAAAATATTTACTGGCTAAATAGGTACTGGCTTTTTATAAAAATAAAGCAAACGTAAGGTTATCAAACGTGAAGGTGTAAGGAATGCATGCAATGTGGCGTATCGTGCTGTTCACTAGTATACACTGCGCGCTCGGCGGTCATATTGAGCGTTCTCGCCCGGTAATGGACTACAAAACGGCGCGACAAGCGATAGTGTCGCGTTTAACTCCCATTCTACTCCAAATACGTACTATGAATACTTTGCTACATTTTATTTCCATAATATTCACAAGAATGAGTTGGAGTGATGTTCTGTTGAGTATATCTAATTTCAAATACCTGTTTGCACTAAGTGCATTTCTTATGTTGTTATTATGTTTTCTTATAAAATATTTATTTGTGAATTGTTAAAAAATGTTAGAACATACTCATTGCGAAGAAATAAATCGTTTCCTTTAATTAGTATATTTAGTTCTGTTGTCCGTTACATTACAAAATAAAAGTATATAAAACTGTGCAACAATTTGTTATTTGCGAACAATTTTAAAACCACTAAATTACATGTAATAGTAATGTTTTTAGTACATTCTCTCGTATTCTTACAGCGAAAGCAGTAAAGTTGGAAGATATAAATAATAATTGCGGCTTCGCACTCGCGCAGTCTTAATCAGCACCATCCAGTAATAACAATGTCGTCGTTGTACAGAAGTGATTAAATTACAAACAGCCGTAAAACAATGGTCACAAACCGCGACTGTTCGCAATTCTCAGAGTCCATCGAAATTAACCTGCGGCTGCCGTACGCAAACCCTGTAACTATTGACAATATGAGAACAACTTTTGCGTCAAAATATAAATTAACATGTATACATTTTGAAGTATTAAAACTACGTCAAGTTCAAACTATATGCAAAAATACTTTGAAATTGTGATCCTTGATATATCATCTTACGTTTGAGGCAGTATAAAAACAAGAGATAGGATCTCGTTGAAGTAAATAAATCTTCTATGCACTTTATCAGAACATTCATTGGCGTTTTACAACTTTACCTGGAGCTGGTAACTAAAAGCGCGAGATAAAATTTCTTATTGAAGTATTGATATCGTTCTGAGAACAAATTAAAATAAGAATGGCTTGCTATTATGCAGACATAACTCTTTATAAAACATTGTGCTTCTAAATCTTCTATAATTATACGTAAATAAGACATTGTCCAATATAATCTAATTGAGTTACCACTTTCATGGATCAAGACACAAAGTTTATAGCATGCTCTTTGAGTTATATGATTCTTCTAACAAAGCTTTATGTAGAACTGTTATCATACTAAAGCGTTTGCTATTAGCAACAACTATGGTTAACCCTTTTCATCAACAGGTTGGATAAAGCGTGGGTTGCAATTTTAAACTCTTAATAACGAATGGAAAGGCGAGAACGCGTCCCG